CAAACAATGCAGTAGATGCCGTGGATCGAGCAAGTTCGCGCACAGAGCGAGTTCAAACGGGAGCGACATCGGAGGCAGATTTTCAATAAAACTTTCTGCAAATACGTAAACCATGGACATGTTTACCGATTCATAACCACTGCGTTGACTGATTTTTGGCATAAGGAACATTTAGACAAAATTTCAGCAAGCTCCGTGAGGTTAAAAAAAAGTGGGGAAAATGCGATCTGCGAATTTTCGCTATGGCCGGGACAAAATTTTATAACCTGGATGTTAGTCGCAATGTAATGAAGACGTCGTCTTAGTATATTATCCTAAGTGTATTACGATCGTCAGTAAATATATTATCGTAGTATATTAATATACCAGTCGGGCTAGTATATTATGTAAGTCCATGTCTACAATCCATTTCACTGCATGCGCCTTGATCAAAGGCTAGAGCCCCTGCTGCTTGACCCATTACTGATTAAAGTTAACTCATTGAACTCAGTAAAAGAAGTTAAATTGTGTTAATTTTATTGAGTATGTTTACATTAACTTGGTTTTTGTTAGCGAGAGCAAATCGCTCCCCTTAATTCACTTTGTTGATTTAAGGAGAGCAGTTTTTAATCGCTCTCCTTACATCAACAAAGTGAATTAAGGAGAGCGATTTTTAGCTCTCCTGGTATTTATTAAAATGAAGCCCTGCAACAGCTTTTTGAGCAGAAAGAATTGAAGGTGTTAGTTCACCCAGTATCATTTAACAGCATTAATGAAACAGAATATCATGTATTCTATTATGAAGCAAGTGGGCTTAACCCTAACCCCCTAGGGACCATTGAAATCCTGCTTAACCTTGTTGGGTTCAGCATGCTTTAATGTAGACCAGCGCACACATAACACAGGGTATTAGCAGTGGATTATAAGCCAGAAAAACAAGACAATATTTTGGAAAGTTGTCATGTAGTAATATAATTTTGGGGGCTTGATTTCAGTATGAGACAGGATGTCTTTGACAACCTTGTTGCTTTCCAAGAGAAGACTGACGTCAGCAAGCTGAAACCTGAAGCCAGGCGTTACCTGGAGAAGCTCATCAAGCTGGGAAGACGAAATGGTAATCTCTTCTTCTCAGGATATTCACAGTAGAGCTATCTCAAGTATAAGCTATGGTTTAACTACGATTCAACAGGACTGTGAGAATTCAGCTTTATGTTTGTTTAGATGTTAACCCCGAATGTCAACTTTTTTACACCCCTGGTCTGTACAAAAGTACGGAAACTCTTTACATTTCAACTTTGTGCTAGCTGTTTTCAGCTTTAATTTTAAGTGTCCACTTAAACCTCTCATTCAACCAAACCACTCTCATCCAAAATGACTGGGCTATTCTCGTTGACTCTTGGGAACGTAATAAACGTTGACTGTTGTGGGGCTCAAGTGACTCTCTGGTTTACCACAGTATGGACAGCAATTGACACGAAAAGTATTATGGGTAATTCCAGAAATTAAGGGTCCATTCTTTTCCTGTCCCTGTCACATCTGTCATATGATTTTGAAAGTTCAGAACACCTTTTCTAATTTCCAATAGTGATGAATTAATGCAAATTACCTGCCAAATAAATAGTAATAGATTGAAATTAATTCCGATGATATTTCCATGTCAAATAAGAAAGGTCAATTGTAACAGGGACACGAAAATGTTACACTTTTGGACCCCTAATTTCTGGAATTACCCTTATATGTTGATAGCTACAGCAGGTCCTAGAAATGCAGCTAACAGAAAATGTGGCTGTTAATATCATTTCAGTTATGGTTTCATCAGGTCAGTGCCAATGGGATTATTCTGCAATGGTTTGATCAGGGTCAGTGCCAATGGGACTATTCTGGAATGGTTTGATCAGGGTCAGTGCCAATGGGACTATTCTGCAATTGTTTGATCAGGGTCAGTGCCAGTGGGACTGTTTTGCACAACTGTGTGTATTGGTAAATCTCCACAACAAACTCTGACTCCTACTCAGTGAAAAGATTGTAAGGGGTCTGCCTAGTTTGACTAAAGAACTCTCAACAAATTTTACTCCGTTCCTTCCCACCCACAGAACACTGCAAAATTCTATTCTGAATGCCCAGGTTTTATTGTGCCAAGAGAACCGATATGAATAAGGGATTTCTGCACGCCAGGCACACATGAGGCTTAGACCAGGCACAGTCTTACATAACTCATTGATATCCGAATGGCATGATACTTATTTGACCCTGGTTTGCTTTGAAGTTGATCCACATTTTCTGTTGGTGAAAACAAGCACATTATGTCAGCCAAAAAGCATTTCCAATCAATCGTTCAACAACTTTTTCGGTTGGCATGTTGTGGCGTACTCATCTCCACGGCGTGCAGTATATCGTCTGATATTCTGGCCAGCAACGAGCATTGTCTCTTGCTCCATTCCATAAAGTCACCAGATTTACTTTTGCTGAATTTGTCAGTTTGAAGTTATCCAATTCTGCCTCCGTGAATTTACGTTGATTACTTCTTGAGTTGTCTGAAGTTGGACTTGTGTTTGATTCTCCTAGGTTTGCATCTACCTAAGGATGTGCAGGACAAGGTCAAAGCCTTGAAGAAGCGAGCCAGTGATATCTCTATTGACTTCAATAAAAACCTGAATGATGAGAACACTATACTGGAATTCACTGAAGAAGAACTAGGTAGATATCATCAAGAACATAACCCTTATCTCTACTTGGTACAATGTCTGAAAAACATACTGAAAGTAAAGGATTTAGAGCTGTTAGAGTGACTTATTGGCAACTTTTTAATGGCTTTTCCATCTGTTCTCACAATCACTGCAGAACCAGCCCTTTTATCTCACCTTTTTTGGCCTCAGAAAGTGTTCATGTTTTATTTGTTTGTAAAGAATGAATTATCTTTATGATACAGTTTGGAATACAGCTCAGTCTAGCAAAAGCTACTTTGTTTTCATAATCCAGTTATTTAAAAAAATGTTTATTTTCAGTTGGCCTTCCTGAAGACTTTATTAAGAGATTAGACAAGGTAAGTAAACATTTGCTTCTCCTTGCGTGTCTGGTGTAAATTGGTCCCTTAGTGCCCACTGCAGTTAGAATTGACAGCTTGTGAAGCTACTATGTGACAGGCTGTGTCCAAATTACTGGTGGTTTTCATAGGATCCATGCATTATTTCAAGCCATAGCCCAGTGTGCGCTTTAGTTTGACAAAGACATTTGCTCTTCAGGCAGTCTAATGCCAGTCGGAGAACAGCACCTTTTACCTTGTCACGTCTGAACAGGTTGCTTGTATTTGCCAGTAACTCAATTTTGTTTCATTTTAATCTTTTTCTCACCTTTCCACTTACCTCCGGATTTGATATTAAAATGTAGACTGTCAAACACAGTCACCTCTTCCATTTTGTGACTCATGGTTTTGACAGACAGCAGAAGGGAAGTGCAAAGTGTCACTGAAATATCCTGATTACTTCCCTGCCATGCGTAAAGCCCGCAACCCTGAGACCAGACGAAAGCTAGAATTTGCATTCAACTCAAGGTAGGAAAAAATATGTCTTCTCAACTAATCCAACAACCAGGAAAAACCGTCCTTACTGCGGTGTTACCATGCTGCATGCATCAGTAGTATGCACCCACATAACATGAATCTACGACCAGGAGGTGTTGTGACTTCGCCTTATTGTGCTTGTCTAGTTTGCAAGCTTGAGTGTATTGCCGTAAAGAAGCAGGTGATTTGGAGCATTGGTGACCAACCATGCTAAAACCAGGATGAAGAATTCTAAGATTTTAAGTTGAAAATGATGCCATTGTGCACATGAACAATGCTGATGCCATTGCCCGCAAGTGCCAAGTATGAAATTTAAGAGTATTTTCAAACAGGAATTTAACGGGAAGTTAAAGAATTTTCAAACATCAAAATTACCTACATGTATACATGTACATGTACTTTAGTCTGGTTTTAGAATGGTGGGTCATTGTCCTCTGAACTACATTAAATATTGTAATGCGTGACCATACGTAACTTGCCGCATATTTTTTGATTGAGAGGATTTTATCAGTATATTAATGTGATTAATTGTTGATAAGGAAGGGAGAGAACAGTGCCTGTTGCTCGCTCATCCGTTTGCTTGTGCAATGTCTTTCTTGAATGTCATACCAAAGTCCCCTATTCATTCTATTTCTAGATGCAAGGAGGAAAATACCAAAATAATGGAAGAACTGGTTGAGATACGCCAGAAGGTAATGTCGAAATAAGACAGGTGCTCTCTGTCTCTGCCATTGAATTAGCATCTTTTAAGTTGCTTCCCCAAATCCCACCATCTTTGTGGATCTTTCTGGTTCACGTTGTATGTATTTATCCTAGCTTTACCCCATGTGTTTGTGTTGAGCATCTTATCCCACAATGCCCGCATCAGCAGCCTGTGGTCATGTTTGAAATTTTCCTTCAGCTTCATGTCAGACTCCTGATTCATTTGGGAGACTTAAATGCTAGGATAATATTGAAATGCCGCAGACTTCCAAAATTGGATTTTGTTGTAGAAAAAGTGTTACCAAATATCCCAAGGTGTTAGACAGAGATTGTCAAGAGTTAAGCCCCAGTTGAGGTTTGAAGCCTTGTGGAGGATTTAAGTCATTCTTCCACTCACACATCATCTTCTTATCCTGTTTGAATAGCTTGCTGACCTGCTCGGCTATCCCACTCACGCTGCCTACATCCTAGAGCTGCGCATGGCCAAGACACCGGAGACCGTGTCCAAGTTCCTGAAGGATTTAGTTGGGAAACTCCGGGTGCTTCAAACAGCTGAACTGGAAACCTTCTTGAGCTACAAAAAGGAAGAGGTAGACCTATTCTTCTTCTTGTATTGTTTGTTTGTGATTCATTATTTAAAATATGTGACCTTTTCATATCTGTTACTGTTGCTTGTCGTCAAGAAAAGGATCTTTGATTATTGCATGTTAACGTGGTCATTTTTCTTTTCAACTTTTCCCACTTTTTGTATTGCTGCCGGGTCTAAATTGAAGTTGCATGACGAGTTCCCCGGGAGATTTTCAAGGTTTCCCATTTTCAAAATGCTTCAAAAATTCATAACTTCATTTNCTGGACATTTACACCCACACGAATGACTATCTGGTGCCTACTCTAATCTCATCTGACAGGCAACATCTGTTGACACCCGAGTATTTCATCCACGCCTGCAGCTTGTAAAGAGAGCCCAGATTGTGCCATGTTACGTAATTTTCTTTTGTTCCCAAAACTGGCCCAATGCGCTGCTGGCGTCTTTTCAAATGTGGCCAGATTAGCATGCAGCGGTATTGTATTGCTCGTAATCTGCCTGCTTGCACTGAATGCCACAAATAGTGCTACACTGTTTCAAAACAATGACGGATTTCCTCCGCTATTGACAACTGAAAAAATTTTGGCAATTCCCAGCAGTTCAGTCTTTTGTTCCGAGTGCGGTCTTTTGTTACAAGGCCCAGCTCCTTTGTCCGATTTTGGGACCTGGCTTTGCGTATAAGTGTAAGGTCTCCGGTACCGGGAACCCCCACACGAAATGGTTAATTTTGAAAGAAACTCGGATCTACTTGTCAGGATCTGGCCTGTCCCTTTCTGGTATTTGAAATATGCCCTCGTCTAAAACCTTGTCTAAAAATTTTGATGTTTTTGATAACGTTTTGTGTTGAAAAACATTGCCTTATGTGGGTTGTACAAAACAAACTGGGATCCAAAGGAAAAGGTCTTCTGCTCCAAATCTTTAGAGTGAATGAATGGGGGGCGTGGTCACTCTCCGCCTACTTTAACTTGTGAAGATGCCAAATAATGTGTGAAGCACTATTTGTATTGGTGATATAAAAGCAGAAATCTTGCATTTTTAAGTGGGAATTTTTTTCAGATCTTGATACAAATTGAAGATGTAACTATGTTGCTGTTGCTTCCATATTGTATATATTTTTTGTGTGCACTGACCAGTGTGAGAAGTACGGCTTCCCCTTCAATAACACCATTGACTTATGGGACATGCGGTATTACATGAACATGGCTGAAGAACGACAATATTCCATCGACCACAACAAGCTGAAGGAGTATTTCCCACTAGAGGTTGTGACCAAAGGTCTCTTGGAGATCTACCAGGTAATTTGGGAGGGTAGAAAAAAAAAGGCTGGAAAGGGTTGTTACCGTTAGTTGAAAGCGTCTGAAGCTGGTATACAAATATGGACTGCTTTGAGTAGTGTAGTTAAACTGGCCTCTCGAGGAGATCCATGCAGAAGTCTAATTTTCCTGAGGTAAAGCTAAGCTGAAATGGATCATTGAGGGAGGCTAGTTAAAGCAGTCAGCATTTGTTTTATAAGTCCTCTCCTACAGATTCTGCTTGATAAAGTGATAACTCTTTAATTTGGTCAAATATGATCAAAATGTATCACTATTTGAATGTGAAATTTGTGGAAAATTCACTAGCATTTTTCCAGAGGACCTCTTCACGAAACGTTTGAACCAAGCTCTGTAGCACTAACACTTGGAAATATGCAGTACGCACACCAGTATGCATTTACACACAATACCAGTTGCTATGTGTAAAGCACAGTGGTTGCTACAGGAATAGTACATTGGTTCCTGCAGGCATAGTACATTGATTGCTGTGGGTATATCACTTTAAACTGTGCACGGCAAGATAGCCAAAATAATGAATGCCATGTGATCAGCTTTCAGCAAATCAAGATACAGAATCTGTGGGTCAGGCGTGTGCCGGTGATGCAGATTTTCTTTTAGTTAGTTTGTTTGCCAGTAATAATTGTCAATACAGTGATAAAATTATCCACAAATTGGGCATGATTAAAAACCTTGTGAGTACTGTAAATATACATGCATTTAAACAATATAGGTTCAAAGATGGTTTTCTACCAACTAACTAGCTTAAACAGAAATATAATTTGTTGGTTCCTTGCATAATCTGATAATAATCTCTGCAAATCTAGTTTCCTCAAAAAACAGTTACCACTTAATACCAGTAACACTGGGAACTGTGTGGAAACTGTCCATTAACATGACAGGCCGCCGAAATGTTGGGTTGGGATATTTACGTATCTAACTTCAAATTGGATAGACATTGAAAAAAGTCTCATCACAATGGCTTTCTCAATTCTGAATTCAACCATACAGCACACGTAAATCTTGCAAACAAAGCTCGACTTTATAATTTGCAATTTAATGGTGCAAGGGCTGCATAAATGTTCATTGTTTAACACTCTGTATCAGATGCTTAAACATTGGTAAGGATTGTGTGTGGATATTGCCAGAACACATTGTAGGTACAATCTAAAGCACATGTCAACAAAATTCATGTACATGGATACGCTGGAGTCTGGGCACTTGTGTGCTGGTAATTGACTGGATGGTGGCACTAGCAAAATTATAGAACTCATGCACTGTCAGGCTTGTTTAAATGTTCGACATTCTATGTTTTTAGAATCTTTGTCAGCCGTAATTAAGATTCAGCCGTAGATTTTTTGATGCCTTGTATACATATTGCAGCACCTTACATAAGGTTACATGTAGTTTTGCTTGGTTGAGAGAAATCAGTGAATTTGAAGGACAAAACCTTTTTTTTATAGGAAAATTCAGATTGAGAAAAAAATTGTCGATACGTAATGCATATTACCCATAACCCAACATTTGATATTTTTTCCAAAATACAGGATTTTCATTTTTTTTGAAGACAACATCGTATTGTGACAATAAAACTCGTGTTACTGTCCACACTAGTGAGGAATTATAACAGCTGCTGTTTTTTCCTTGTAATTGCCTGGGCCCAATTTTATGGCTCTGCTTACTGTTGAGCAAATTGTTTGCTAACCAAAGCACAAAAATTTGCTTAACAGCAAGTGTATTTCACGGCGACCATTTCACGAGTGCTGTGTTTAGTACAGAAATTGCATGGGCGCACGCGCATAGTGGTTTCCATTGCTATATCAGCGAGGTAAGCCAAGTTTCGCCTTTTGCTATGCTTACTGCTTACAGTCTCCATGAAATACGGAGAGCCTCTGCTTAGCAGTGATGTGAACTTGGGTGCTGGCACAGCAAATGCATGTACATTAAAGAGTGCAGTATCTTCGTAGACATTTCAACCTTGCCTAACCATATCCTCCAAAATCCCCTCGACATTTTCCGGAGGAAAGTGCCCCATGCTCCAACTTGTTTTCTGTCAACAGGAGCTCCTGGGACTGAAATTTGAAGAGATTCCCAAGGCTGATGTCTGGAATGATGACGTCACAATGGTAAATTGTTAACTCTTGTAAATCTTACAAAATCTGTTGTATGTTTTGAAAAGATTTAGTGCTGAAGTATTCATTGAATACCCAAAGAGTACTGAACGGGTAATCATATCCTTGTGTGAAGGGACAAAAAACATTAATTTGATAAAAATTTTGACACCTATTTGATCTTTTGAGAATTCTTCAAGATACTTAGATGAAACAAGTAATCATATATCATACAACAGGAATCGAGGAGCGTAAACAAATAATGTCAGTTAGTAGGCTTCTACAAGACAACATGAATGCAAACTATTTCCAGCTTTCAAATGTCTTGTTTGTTCATTGATACTCTCACGTATTCCTTTTTTCCCCTTTTTTTTGTTTGGTGTTTCTAGTTTAGCGTGACTGACAAGGAGTCAGGTGCTTTCATGGGCTTTTTCTACCTTGATCTCTTCCCTCGAGAGGGCAAGTTTGGTCATGCTGCCTGCTTCGGTCTGCAGGTGAAACAATTCAACAAGATGACTGAGTATCATTCAGTAGTGATTGATAGGAAGTGCCTTCTCTTTCTTGTGCAACCATCTGACGTGTTTTTGGTGTTTCGTTTGTCCACAGCCTGGTTGTGCAGCACCTGATGGGTCCCGCCAGGTTGCTATAGCAGCCATGGTGGCCAACTTCACCAAGCCGACCCCGGACTCACCCTCACTGCTTACCCATGATGAAGTAAGTCTTTGCCGAGAAATATCAACTCTTCAACATCCGAAAAATTTGCTTTTTAATTGAACTGACGGACTTTCTTCAGACCCTGCAAGTGTCAGTGACAGAGGCATGATTTTACCACCGTAAATTTGAATAGCTTTGGGTTGGACTTCAAATTGGATGAGTGGTGATGGAGTTGTAAAGATTTGATTACAATGCTAACTTCTAGTACATGGTTCTACCACATGGGTACTCATGACACCGCCTAGGCCTAGCTAGCCCCTCCCTCCCGTTACCACTCCCTATCTCTTGATATCGGCCCTTATTTCTGTCTTCTCCCCCCTCAGGTAGAGACTTTCTTCCATGAGTTTGGTCATGTCATGCACCAGCTGTGTGCCCAGGCTGAGTTCAGAATGTTCAGGTACTGAAACCCTCCTCCTTCTAAATCCACTTTTTTGCTTGGTTTCTCCGGATAGGTGGAGACGTTCTTCCACGAGTTTGGCCATGTCATGCATGATATTCTGGGCCAGACTGACTATTGTTACTTCAGGTCTGTATGAACATTGAAGGCCTCAACAACTTGGTGTTGGATTGGGAGATGGAAATATTAAAGTCCTTGTCTGTATGGGAATAAGCCACTTGCGAGCTAAATTTGAATAAAATCTGGTACACTGTGTTATCTGATTGCACAGAAGCGTAACAATTTGAATTCTCCAGACTAAAGACACTGTTGCTATGCCTCGTGATTCGGGGCAAGCTTTAGCATCGTGACCACCATCTCTGGAATGGACTGGTTCCTTTGTGCCGATCTTATCCATTGAGAACAGTGTATTGTTGCAAGGCATCTCTTATGTAACTAAGCAAAAGCTTACCCCGAATCACAAGGTATAGCAACAGTGGTTTTAGTATGGAGAATTCAAGTTTATATGTTCACGTGAATTTGAAGAACTCACTGTACCAGATTTTATTCAAATTTAACTCGCAAATGGCTTATTGATCACGGTAGGAGAGTAGACTTGACTAGAAGTCTGCTAGCACATAACAGAGTGAGTCTGGTGTGTAGCATGTCATTTGTTTGTCAAGAAAATTAGAAAAGACTGTTCCATTTTTATATACATTACCCAGTGCAGCATGTTTGGATATGTAGGCATTATGTTAATGGCGCGTACATTGTACCATGGTTCCTGCGGCCTGGCAAAGTCATGGAAATCTGTTTTTGTTTTCCAGGCCTGGAAAAGTCATGGAATTTTGTAAAAATGACTTAATTCATGGAAAAGTCATGGAATTTTTCAAACACAGATTTTCTTTATCAGATATAAGTGCATAAAATGCATGATTTTGTTGGCAGCTTTAAAAGTCTGAAAAGTCCAAGAAATTGCATTATTGGGTCATAGATTTTCATAATTTGGTCATGGAAAAGTCATGGAATTTAATTGTCCTGTAGGTGCAGGAACCCTGTTGTACATTTGTTTAGAGGCCTTTCAATCAGAAGTATCTCTGGTGACTTTGGACTTGTCAGGTTGGGCCAGCCGCTTCTGTTGAGTCAGGCTGAGCTTACCTCAGTCATCAACTATACTCTTCTACAGGGTGCCAAGATACTAGTTCATTAGCGTGAAATTCACATCCTCATTTTGTAGCAGAAGGTATCACTTTGACGTTCTTATTCCATACTGGACACACTGTGGGACAAAAAGTACCATTACTTTTTCCAGATGGCTCGAGTGCTGACCCCTTGATTTGTCTTGGACAAGCATCGCTTTCGATTACTTCACTGCATTTGATTTGAAGTTTTTATGATTTCCCATGCTAACTTGGGCCTGGTCCAAGTGGCCAAACCGCCGAGCCAGTTGCTTGGGAAGTATCCCACAATGCAGTGCTGGAACATGGCGGTTCGCTGGAAAGACGTGAAGGAAAGTTGACACCGTTGAAAACAGTTCAGAAAAATAGTTGAATGTTGTGGCAAATCAGCTCAAGTCAACTAAGTTCTGTGAAGGAAAGGCAGGAAGTGTGTGTTTAGATGTCTGTTCCCTTTAACCATTTGGACTCATGCTACAAATTCAATGAATATGTGACCTCTTGACCTGGTTGGGACACTCCCAAATCAACCTGAGATTGTTTGTTTATCACCACATCTTATGCATGCCCATCCAAACCAGTGATCACACAGTAAGCACATGGGAAGAAATCGAATGCACTGAAGGAGTTTTCAAAATTGGTCAATGCATCTAGTCAATCACTGATTTTTCTCTCGACCCGCAGCGGCACGCGCGTGGAGCGTGACTTTGTGGAGGCGCCCTCACAGATGCTGGAGAACTGGTGCTGGCAGGCAGAGTCACTGCGGCGCATGTCGGGCCACTACAAAGATGGGACGACCATTCCGGATGAGATGGTGAACAAGCTGGTCAGGGCCCGTAATGCCAATGCTGGGGTCTTCAACCTACGGCAGATCCTACTAGGAACATTTGATCAGACCATACATACTTCTGCTAAGGTATGTCTTGGCTCAAGTTTTTCCTGGTTGTTACAGAGTTGTCATAATGTTTCCAGTGTTCGGAAATCAGACCGTTTGAAACGACAAAAATGAGACAGTGGGCCTTTAAAGTTGATCGAAAAATACTTTGAAATTTCAGTTTGAAATGTTTACAGAAAATCTTTAACCTCGCTGGCATCGGACATATACAACAATCTTGGAATTCACGAAAGTCACCTTGTTATTTTTCAGGTAGTTCTCTGTCGCTTTTTGGAAAATCAGTTCAAATATGTTGGATTTTTCAAAAGTAATGATAGCCATTGGAAATCAGTTTTAATTTTCGATTGTAAAGAAATTGCTTTATATGGTTGTCCATTTATCCTGACTTCCCCTAATCTTTACAGATTTGACAAAGAAGGTGACCTAAAACAGACCCCCGAAGATTCCTGTTGAATTGAGAATTATTTCCTTTTTGTTCATTTTAACATAGGCTGATACCACCTCTGTGTATGCCGGGTTATCAAAGGACATTCTTGGTATACCAGCTACGCCGGGTACCAACATGTGTGCATCATTTGGCCATCTTGCTGATGGGTATGATGCCCAGTACTATGGTTATTTGGTGAGTAACTTGGATTTTAAATACTCTCTCTTTGCCCCTTCTACTTAGGCGGACACAAGCGCCATATATTCCAAACTGTCACAAGAGATTCTGGGGATACCGGCCACACCGGGTACCAACAAGGTGGCCTCATTTGGTCATTTGTCGGATGGTTACGATGCTCAGTACTATGGGTATCTGGTGAGTTTATTTGATTTGAAAACAACGAGCCTACGGACAAATGATGCAACACTTTGTTTACATAAACACATCCCTGTGGGAGCTTGGAAGTGAGGATAGATTTGCAGTTCCTCAGGAAAGCATACAGAAGGGTTTTGTCATCAGTACATTAGGTTATAGTCTTTAACCTCCACTTGTGACGTCACGCTGTTGTTTAGCCACTCCGTTATTTTGTATGAATAATGCGATAGAGGCAATACCCTTCCGTTCTTTTGGAGATTTTGCTTCCCTCACTCCATTGTACTGAACAATGGAGTGATACATTTTAGGCTTAAATAGCCTCTAAAAATACACTGTAGATTGCAATGTAAATTTTCAGTTTTAATAATTTGTTCAATCGAGTGTCAGATGGAAAGATTAACAATAATTTTTTAAACAAATGAAATACTGGCATTGTTGCACCTTGCAGGCGGCAATGCTGACGGTAATATTGTACAGTCCATGAAAGCCGTTGATGTGTCAATAATGCAGTTACAAAGGCAGGATACCTTGACCATTCGTTCATTCTTTGATTAGAGAACTCACTACCTTGAAATTACTTGGCGAGCCATGCCGGAAGGTTCCCAGACAGGTCCAGAAAAATGAAGTCATGCAAGGTAACCCTTAGAAACTTGTGTGGTTTTCTTCTTTGAAGTTACAAATAAATTGCGCAAATACGAGCAGATAAGGTCATCCTTCTTGAAATGTTTAATGACGTTCCATGCCGAAACAGTTCAACCTTCATCTTTTCGGTTTCAAACATAGTTCTGCAATTAGAATGTGAAAAGGTCTCAAACTTAATTTGTTTAGGGTGTCTCATGAATTTGGAAATCGACAATCACATTCAAATGGCTCACTCCAGATTGCACATGCAGGAATGGTCGTTAGACAAAGCCCTCATGCAGAGTGATTTGTGTGCAGATGAAAGAAAAAACTTCAAGTAAGCTACATTGGACGAAGACTTAGTGAAGTTGATTAAATGCCACATGATACTAACATGCTTCGATAATTTTAACTTCAGTGTTGGATACTATATTGCCAAAAAATGGAGGAATGATTGCTTCTGTATCTGTGAGAAAAGAGTACTATTACTGACCTTAACGCACTCATTGACTTTTCACTCCATGTTTAGTCTTTTGGATTGACTGTTGGTTTCTTCTACAAGAGCAAGGTCAAACTTCCCATAGGACCTGGAATTCTGAAAGATCGGCTAGTTCTATTCTAATTCCACTTAAGGTGACATTCAGTATATATAATCCATGGTATCAGTGGGTAATGACAGTTGGTGTCTCCACTTAAGGTGACATTCAGTATATATAATCCATGGTATCA